GTTATGTTATTTTTATTTTTTTATTTTATTTTATTTATTTAAAAAACCAACAGCGTTACATATAGTTTACAAAAGTTTCCGTGAATTACAGAGATTAAGGCTAATAATAGGCTTCCCTTATTTTCTAGATTTTGTAAATATGCGAACGGACTAACAAAAAAAATAACAAAAAATGATTTACTTAATCAGTTAGTCAATTACAAAGACTTAAATTTAGGCGTGACAATATAAACATAATTCATCATCAATAGCTTATGATTATGACACTAAACTGGCGAACTACAGGCCACATTTACATAAGAAGGTGAGTACTGTTTCTCAATGCTTACCAGGCCAGTTGAAGATTGCAGATGTTCAAGTTTATCAGAAAGCACTACCACTGGGTTTTTGTTCAATATTGGTCCTTTGATAATCCATACACAAGCCACGAAAAGATTGAGATTAATAACAAATGTAGGTATTTTACTCTACTGTCATTATACAGCTTGTGTAAGTATAAAAAGGTAGCAATCTCAATATAGGTTTTCGATAAAGAAATTATATCAGTATACAATAAAAGTAAATAATACAATCTCTATTTACCTTACGTGACATCGTAAACCAATTAGATAATAAACTAATTTTATGTATGAATGATTTCGTTTTATAAATATCTCTCTTGGAAAAAGCCGGCAAAAGAGCAGATGGATCACCTAATGGTAAGCAATTGGCGCAGTTCATTAACACCAGAGGCGATATAAGTGCATTGTATTTTGAGGGATAGAAATTTGGAGAGTAGAGATTCGGGGATTGCAGCAACTGGAGAGTGGAAATGACAAATGACCTATAGTTTGTCTAATTGTATAGAAGCTAGGAAACCATATTTTGTGTACTACCTACTTATTACTTTTACTTTTTTACTACCTACTATCTCTAACTTTTTATTTTGGAAACTGTTGCCGACATCAAATAAGTAGTAAGAAATGTACAAAACAATAGTATAATTAGTATAGAAATTGTGAAAAACAATTTTCTAAAACTTTGAAGCAACCAATATGAGTTCCAAAAACGTCATACCTTCTTGACGGAGTAAGTTATCGAATATCAGCTAAGCACTTTAATTCCAATACGTGACATCGTAAACCAACATTGATAATATGCTATTATCAGTCAATAGTAATCAATGACAAGCAGTGAGTTATGAATCCTCCTTAAACTGTCAAACACCAAGCGGTCACCGGTGACCGCAACCTATTGTTCTATAATTGTGTCTATAATGACGGTACTCGACGAGTTAAATTCTAATTGTGAGATCTGGTTAATAACATAACATCACGCCTTTCATCCCCGAAGGGGTAGGCAGTGGTGCACACAGAAGTAACACCCACTTTTCACTATTTATGTTATGAGTCCCATATAATTGGGGGTGAGCCTATTGCCATACACCAGGCACATTTCCAGACTCCGTGCTACTACTGAGATTTAAAAACCCAGTAATACTTTGCCCGACCCGGGAATCAAACCCGAGACCCCTTGCCCGGCAGTCAAACTTGCGACCACTCGGCCAACAAGGCAGTCATTTAATACTTTAATACTAACAATAAAGATATAACATAACATCACGTATATCGCGTCTTTTATACTCCAAAAGATTGAAGGATTAAGAATTAGACAGAGGTGTGCGTTAAAGGTAACGACCACTTTTCATGAATTATGTTAATCGAAGTGATTTTATTGTCATATACCGAACACAACTCCAGACTCCAGACTCAAGGTGATATTATGTGCTTTCCCATATTCTGACACTTTGTCAGTATCACATCACATATTAATAATTTAATATTCATGCTGACATGTTGTCATAAAGACAAATTAATATTTTTTTACACTAACAATTTAATTGTTAGTGGTTTTAAGTTGACCAAGGAATACATGTTTATTCCTAAGAAATATAAAGTTTTATTTGCTCGTTTTCTAGCCAATAGTATTAATTTATGTTGTTCAGGAATGACGCTTATGGCCACACAACCAATAAGATTAACAATATTTAAAATTACTGATAAAATGCATAAAACCATAATACAATTACAAATACTTGATAGTGACTTTTATAGCACTAATAATTATACAATTTACTAAATATTAAATATTAATGACTCAAAAATAAATCTAGAATAGTCTGTATCGATATGTAAATGTGCGTGCAAAATAATCTTCTTATCTACAATAATTCAGCGTGTGCGACAACGTGACTATTAAGATGTTTTTTTTTTTAGAAATATTTTTTCTTGTTGACGACTGTTGATAAAATTGATAAGACAATTGATATTACCTATATTTTATTTGATTATTCGCTTTATAACTTCGTTATCTTGACATATACACAAAATAAGGTATGTCTCTTTGTATTGGTGAGATATCGTCCAATACCACATCCGTCTTAAGAATTATTTAGCGGATGTTATATTTTTTATCTTTCATTCGAAAATTACACTTAGAGTTTTAAAATGGGCTCATTCTATATAGATATTGTTAATAATAATAAATATATGCAACTTGCAAAGCAATAGAGGATCATAATATTTGTTAGGAACACCTCTTATTGTATGCAGTTATACAAAATGTAACTTAAATAACGCACATCCTGAAAATAGTTGGTTCAGAATCGTTAACTGAATATAGGTAACTTTTTATCCCAAAAATAATTAAAACTACGGAAATTATTGTCATATTAACCCTGTATTGTTAAAACGAATCGAAATGGACCGTGAGTCAAAGCAATAAGACTTTTAAAATGGCAGTTTTATTTGTATTCATACAAATTCTATCATTCAATACAAAATAAAGAAAAATGGGTAAACCTTATGACAAAACCAGTAAGGATGCATATACATGTTAAATTAAAAATGTAGTGTATGTATAAAGATTATAACATAATATTCTAATTGGGGTGTTTGAGGGTGTGCGTTAATTACGTTACAACATGTTGTATATGTTATTGTATTTACACGAAATATAACAAGAGGCGTAATAAAAGACCTAAGTCACTTTAATAATTATTGGGCAATACAAAAAATCGATTCGACCAATTTTGATATTTTCAAATCAGATAAGATATACATACATGTAAAGCCCTTGGTCTACTTTATGATATTTGATCAAGGTGATATGAATCAGATGGCTTTCTAATTGAATCAGAATAATCTATATAGGAAAACGTATTTGCTATTGTAATACCTAGCTAATAAAACAAAACAAGAGAATACGAAAATGAAAGTGATACTTTTATATCACTGACTTTTCATAGATTTGTCTATAAACTACTTCTTCTAGTAAAATAAATTTTTGAATGTACTATAATGAAAACATAGACAAAAGCATGCCTGACATCGACGTCACCGTCGCTCATGCAATGCGTAATCATGATTATTGGCCCCTGGTGTGACTTAAAACCAGTCCAATAACTAAAATATTTTGGACCATGAATTTATTAACAATGCGAAGTAGATAGCATATAGTAAACCAATGAGATATGTCTATCCTTTACCAAATTCAAAAGGAAGAAAGAGAAAAATACACTTACCTTTGTGTGAGTTGGTCTTCTCATCATACTTGCAGTTGTAGGCAACGGAGTAGCTGTTGAAGTCGGTTTTCAGGATCAGCAGGGGAGATTGAGAAACGAAATCTGTCAGAAACATAATATAAAATAGGTAAATAAAATACATGAAGTTTTGACCTTGAACAAAATGGTAGGCAGGTTTAATAATTCGAAAAAACAAACTACTTAATTTTTTTCCTAATTCGTAATAATTAGGATTAGGAATAATGAGAAAGGTATCAGCAACGCTACAGGGTAAATATGATTCTGGATCGACAATTAAGAAATTATTTTGTCTAGATCTAGTTCTTACCTCCGAATTTGAAGGAAACGACGAACTTGGCAGCGTTGTTAGCATCATCGGCATATCTGGCAGTTCCTTCAATGTACTTCTGTTCTCCATCAATAACATGGGTGTTCTTTACTTTGACGATGTCACCATCCACTGTGTACTCAGCCTGGCTACAAGCACCCTTGCCCTCAGAAGCGATTGGCAGCTTTGAAATTTCATACCAAACCCCTTGGTACTGTAACAAAAAGGAATTAATTATTATTCTGACTTTTTGGCGGATGTAGCACTATCATTGTTGATAAATATTGGACTCTTTGATTGACTTTATAAATTGTTCTTTATAATAGGTTGAAAGGCCCTATATGTCCCGTCCTAATCTATGAAAAGTCACAACGAATGATGTACTTATCATTGAGCTAAAATCACAGTAATTGTCCAAAACCTAATATGTTATACAGCCATCAGTTTACATTCACGACCTTAGTATAAACAAGGTAGAATAATAATAAAAACTATGACATAATATTAAACAAGGCATTCGTCCTTCACAGTTCGTCGACAGCTTTGTGTCGTATTGTCAACCAGTGACTCTAATCATTCAATTCCGTGATCTGCGCGGGCGCACCGCAACTAATTGAACGCTTATCGACAAATTATTTGTGTGAATCATCTAGTTTAATGGACTAAGGTCAAACTAAGTAGCCTTGATCTTGAATCTAGGCAACGTTGTATTTTGTCACATTTTCCGTGCGCTGTTCGTTGAATTTAATTAATAGGGAGTAGGTATATAATACCTATTTGCTTTTGTTTTTGTATCTCATTTTTTACTGCATTGTGATCCTAGTACTTGTATGTCACGAATCACAAAGTACGACAAAAAAGTCGTTCAGTTTTTTGTCATTAACAACATCAAGTATAGTCGAAGTTCCTATTTAAAACGATGAGTTTTCGAAAGCTTCCAACAGAAATTACATTGTTTCGTTCTGGAATGGAGTATTCAATATTGTTATAACCAAAACATAACCTTATCAATTTTATTACAAAATTATCTATTGATCGAAATTATCAACATGTGAGACTTTGGTCTGGCTTGCATATAAATTGGACATATGAATGAATGTTCATAAATGCAATGAATTAGACGTTATAAGATATATCTACATTGTTATATTTTAGTAAAAGTCAAAATCATTTATTTCAATTAGACCACGATAGCACTTTTGAACATTAAACAAATATTAAAAATGTTATTACTAAAAGTCTACCCCTTCGGGGAGTAAAAGGCACGATGTTATGTTATTCACTGTAGCACACCGAAACTTGAGTGACTGTCCCTAAGTAGGTACTTACTAACCTATGTATAGGTACCTACCTATGTACATACATAGGTTAGTCCGGAAGAGATCACCATTAAAGATAAGGCTCTTTGTACATAATTACTCATGCCAAATATCTTTGCGTAGATAACATCGCACCTGTTTTTTTAGGAAAAGGGTAAACAGATTACGAGTACATGCGGGACATAGGTATAACCTAGCAACACTTACTTAGCTCGTGTTCTTAAGTAAGTGATACATAAGTATAAGTATGTATATAGGAAAAGATAAGCATGTTTTTAGCTGGCCTGTAAGTGTATAGTACAGTCGCGGTTAGCAACGACCGACCAACTAATGTGTAGCGGGTTCACTTCTCGCTGGAACGATAGTTATTCTTTGTATGGTCCACTTGATATTATTTCGATTTCTTTTGTCGAAAAAACGTTGCCCTACACTAGGATTATCTCCTGTTTCGTGGGTGCGTTTACAGGCATACAAATTCACATACACATGACACCCAGACTCAAAACAATAATTTGTAGATCACACAAAGTGTTAAGCAGAGAACCGTAGCGGGGAGGAAATAATGTCTTTTTGGACAAAAAGAAATCTTTATCAGTAAATACCTAACGTTTTTAAAAGAACAAACATTTGAACAGCGAATACTTTATCATGAATTTCACAAAATTATCATGAATTTGTTATTTATTTGCTTACGATTACTGGCCTCGGAAACCAAAATGTTATCAAGCTAGGGTATCTACATAATAAGCCAAATTGTACTTTTTAATACGTAATTTAATTTTATTGACTCTATTGGGTGTCGGATTCGATTTCCGGGTCGAGCCTTTACTCTACTGTACTACAAGGTTTTTATAAAATTTTCAGTGGTAGCACGGAGACTGGAAACGTGCCCGGTATATAATTATGGCAATAGGCTCACTCCCTCGCTCATTACATATATAGTTAAAAGTGGGTGTTACATTGTACAGTGGCATTAAATGCGATGTGCACCTCTATCTACCCCTTCGGGGATAAAAGACGTGATGGTATGTTATGTAATTTAATTTTAAGATAAATTATTCAAACAACTTTTGTTGTAGCAAGGGTTTCAAAAATGACTGCTGTACCAGGGGTCTCGAGTTTGATATGTATTATTGAATGGGGAGAGAATTTTTGTATTTTTTTTTTTTTTGGTTTGTCAAAGTTAGATTTGTGGGATTATATTCTGTGTAGTAATCGGCTCACCCTGGTTGGTTAAAGTATTATTGGTCTTTGTCAGCTTTTGAAATTATCATTATCTACTAAAAACAATATCTAGAATAGGGATGATTAACGGGTATGAAAATTAAAAATCTATTTTATCGTTTATGAAAACAATTTTAGATAAAATGAATAAATGTTTTGGAGTGGGATAGCCAGTTACGTCATTTTTTAGTGTAAAACGTGCACAAAAGTGACATCACGCGACATTTCAAATCAATATATCGTTGAAAATACTTATTTGTTTCTGTAAGAAAATAAAAATACGTGTCTAATGTTTTTAAACAATCTACCAGGTGGACAATACAATAAAAATTAGTCATCTACCCTATTGTGTTATGTAGTCTTGTAGGCATAAATAGGTGGGACTATCTTTTTTCTCCAAGCATTTTGGTAATGTTAACATTACTGTAAATACTAGTTTACTAACCATGGCTTCGCCAGGGTGGTCTAAAAAATTTGTTGCTTCCAAAAACCATACCATAAAAGGCTTAGTAGTGACGAAAAAGAAATACGAATCAATAGACTTTCGCAATCATGATAGTATAAACATAGGAATCATTTGCGCATAAAGACGATTATGAAGGATTGTTCAGACACTACCAAATTGGTACAAGATGTGTCCGGAATTTTATATGATTGGTTATTGTGATTTAAATATATCTCCACAAATTCTAATATGCTTACAATTTTGGGTTTCACAATAGTCAAGCGTTCAATGTAAACATTTAACTTCGAGGTGTTTGCCAAAAGTGTATTTAGCAATAGACAGCAAATTAATTATGTAAATAAACGCGAACCAACAAATCCTATTAGATATAATATGACATAATAACTGACATTCCTAGTTAAGTATATAAGTGTAGTTATAAAACGTCTATTTATGTTTCTAAGCCGATTATGATAGGATATTTTACTTCTATATGTATTTGATGGACCGACGTTTGGCCACTATCTCGCCTGGTGATAATTCCAGACAATGCTAATAATACTAAAATAAGAATCCTTTAATATACTATATCAGATTTTATTTAAATTCTATGGTTACATATTAAGTAATAATCGATTTTTTTAGAGTGAACTTTAAAAACCATATTGCTCTTCCGTGACCTGTGATATTATGATATCTATGCGTTACACCGTTGGCTAATAAACTAGATTTAATCAACGACTTTATGAAAAAAGTCTACTATTACAAGTATCATGAACGAAATTCGACATTATAAGAGAAAATAAAAAAAAATACTCACGGCTGTCAGGTTGAAGTTCTCAACCGGCTTGACCTCTGGGCAGGGCCCTTCGTGAGATTCGGCGATGGCAACAGCCACAACCGCGAGGATCAAAAATTTAAGCATTTTGGATAATACTAAAATATTTTTGGTATAAAAATTAAGTCGTCTACGCCTCTCGTGCTTGGACGGTCGTCAGAGATAAACTGCCGGTTGTGGGACAGAGTCATCCTTATATACTGAGAGCAGCAGAGGTCATGGACAGATACAATTCGTATCAGGATTATTTAATTGACAGAATTGCGAATACGGAGGATGAAGCGGTTAAGCTTCTAGAAAAGTCGAGACCTTTAGTTCATTGATTGCTTTAAAGCTTCGCAGTTAGTTGATGTAAATTGTTCTGTATAAATGAGATACAATCAGCAGATAAGTGGTAGGATGGATTATCAAAGTACAATTGGCTTAAATTTAAAGTTCATAGTAGTTAATACTTATAATTTTGTCCGTTAATCCATTGTTTATAATTCTATTTATATTTTTAAAATATGTTGCCAATAAACTTTACCGAAACCCAAGCAAATGTACACAATAAGTAAATGACGCACACGAATTTCATAGAAAACTAAAATAATGGCATGTCAGGATTAAACAGCAGAAGTCTATTTGTAATTATTATTGTACAATCACAGAAAACCGACGTGAAACAACGCTGAACTTACAGGAGGCCCAATCTACTCAATCCCTAGATTCCCAACAATCCTCAAATTCCTAATCTTTAAAAGGCCGGTAACGCACTTGTAATGCCTCTGGTGTTCCAGGGGTCCATCGGCGACCTTGATTGCTTGACATCAGGTGATTTATCTGCTCGTTTACCCGCTTATTCCATAAAAAAGGAGACATCTGACGAAATATTGACCTGAACACGCCCAGAAACGTGTCGAACATCAGTGTACCAGTGTTTTCATGGTTGTACCAGTAGGTAGTTGGTCCTGTATATCCTTCTGTCGAGCGTAGAGATTATGTTAGGCCCCATAAGTAGGATAAGCTAATAACCTAGAAATAGATTGTAATAGGGTTTTGATGGCGTAAATGAAAGATTTAATCCAAAAAAACTAGTAATCATCGTACTTGTATTAAAAACGTTCGTGTATTTCTTAGCTTTGAACTAAAATTCGACAGATGTCATCGAAATCTTATCGCTTTGTCTCTTGAACTCAATCGATATCACTAAAGGAATGTTAGTTTAGTGAGTAGATCGAATGACTTTAGCTTAAAATTGAGTCATTTTCCGTATGGGTGTGCATACCATAGACAACGAAAAAATTGCTCAATTTATTTCATGTCATGTTTTCGGCTTACTCACGTAATTATTTGATGAGGAACTCGACTAGGACTTATTTTATGTCTTTTAAAATCACAGTAGCACTAGTTTCTGTCAGTGTCTTCAGATTTATAATATTAGTATAATTGTGAATAATAATAATATGTAAATCTGTTTGATTCATATTTATTACTAATAGTGATTTTTTTCCTATTTTGGTTTTAATTTTTGATAACACACGACTTTTATAAATTGCATTGCACCTATGCTTCATATACCAGTAAATTTGCAACAATAAACCACCGAAACCTAGGTTTCAGCCTCAAGAATTTTTAAGTCAGTGATTTTAGTTACAAAATTTTTAATCATTGTTTGTTAATGTATGTCAATTAAGTGGTCAAACGTCGGTTTATCTAAAAAAATATATTTCTTTGTTACTACCAAGAATTTTCATCTTTCAACAATGCTTAACGCACTTTTAGGAAATGTCAGGCATAATAGTGTTCTTTATCTTGCCTGCATTGTCATTTTTGAGTTAAGAGCTAAGAGATGAGTACTCTTTATCAGTACGGATAAAGTACATTTTGATAATGGCATCATTATCTGTCCATCCTTCTATCGTGGGTATATCCACAGCACATTCTGGAATCTAATTTTATCTGTTACCTTCTGTCAAATATTACTCATGATGCTAAAGGCTAATCTCAATTTCATTGTTTCCTTCTAAAAACGTGTGAAATAATTCATCTTTATTTTCTTGAAAGGATAGGCTGCAAAAGTTTTTTTTTTTGTAGGAAGTAAATTTCCCAATTATTTCCAAATAATAATAAAGATAGCTGTTATCATTATGGAACCTCGAGTCTCAATACTAAATAAGTGTCATACAATTGCATACATATCAATAAGAATGCATACTAAGTTCAGATGAGATCATAATTTAAATTTCGTAAAAATGATTTTTTTTTGGGATACCAGAAGCGTTACAAGTGCGTTACCGGCCTTTTGGGGAATAGGAGTTTGAGGATTGTTGGGGATTCAGGAATTGGGGGGATTGGGTCCTCTGGTAACCTCACTCACACGACGAAACACAATGCAACCGTTGCTTCACGTCGGTTTTCTGTGAGGTTGTTTTAATATTTCAACTTACTTCTTTGTGATTGATACGAACTTAACAATTTTTTGAAGGAATTACTCGAATTAAGTATGAACCTTACTCCATGGCATTACGGACTAGATTCGTGATGTCTAAATACTAACACTAAAAGAAAAGCGTTGTCGTCTTATGTACAAAAATGAGCCTGATAAGTACTTAGTGCTCATAAACACTAAAAATCAAGCTAGATACAGGCTTGGTACCTGCTATCACAAAGGGCTGCAGATCATCCATAACCAATTATGATGTCCATGGTAACTAGACCGGAAAGTGAGAATAAAAGCAAAACTAATTGCAAGCTGCATTATCCATTGTAGGGAAACACAAAGGTGCACTTTACCGATACAAATTTGAAGTGAAATCGAGTAAATAATACACTTGAGAGCAATGAAACAGAGCCACTACCGTTTTTTCTTTTTAACCGATTTCCCAAAAAGGAGGTGGTTCTCAATTCGACCGGTGTTTTTGTTGCTTTTTTTTCTATGTACATACCTATATTATGTATCTACACTGATTACGTCAAGGTATATGGACCGATTTGAGTGATTCTTTTTAAAATATAATTTAGGTACCGATACTAAATATAGATAATAGGGTGGATGCCTAATTTTTATTTTAATGTCCGTCTGGTAGATTATTTTAAATCATTAGACACGTATTTTTTATTTTCCTACAGAAACGAATACTTTCTACGATATTTGGATTTGAAATGTGGCGTGACGTCACTTCTATGAACATTTTATACGTAGAAATGACGTTTTAGCCCCCACTTCTAAACTTTGATTCATTTATCTAAGTATTGTTTTATTATACGATAAAATAAAAAAATACGTGTCTAATATTCTTTCATTGCGAAGTAATTAGATTTTTAATTTTCATACCCTGTCATCATCCCAATTGTATATAACTTTTACTTTTTGGTTTTTACTTCATGGTTTTTGAAGTCGGTTTTTTTTTATTAATATTTTCTGATACAATTATTTTATTAATTGGTGACATGAATCGTGTAAAAGGCAATTTAGTTATCTTTAAAATGAGAGCATTTTGTCCTAAAGGAATATTTTTTTAAGTTTAACCCAGTATGGTTGGATGATTCCGTTTCTTTGCTACCGAGTGTATAATCTAATCGATACATTCATGTGAACAAGATGATCAGTTAATCCGGTTAAGCTCATATGACCCTCTATACAGATTATTGAAAATTCATATTGCCTTATCGTAGGAATCAAAGTTTAGTATACCGGCAGTTAGCACTGATAATTGCATTTTTCTTATCTGAAAGATACTGAAAACGCTGTGACGTATTTTTATGTCGTATTTATAAGATATTTAAGTAACTATATAATATACTAGCAGCCCGTCCCGGCTTCGCACGGGGTAGACAATTATTTATTTTTGGAATTTTGGATTGTCGTAGTGACATAACTACAATAGTTGGACATATGCTATCGCGAAGATTTTAGTAGACATTATGATGTTCTTCAATATTGTTGTACATTATTTTGATCTAACGCTAATTTTTTTCAAAACGAAATGCAGCCTATGTCAAATTGGAAGAATGTAGCATTCTATAGGAGAAAGGATTTTTTAAATCGGCCCTGTACTTTTTGAGCCTATTCATTACAAACATACAAACATACAAAAATAGGTACGCAATCTTTCCTCTTTATAATATTAGTGTAAATTATTATTTCAACAATGATTAGTTATTTCTGAGAAAATTTTATCTTTCATAGTCTTTGCAGCTATATATTAGTATACTTAACAGATCATTATTTCTTGGCATTACCTCTATTTACAATAATTATGTGCTT